TCCTGCTCAAGCAGTTTTGATAGTTCAACAGTTCTGAATTGCTGCCAGTCTCGCCATTCCAATCATAATGAAACCTATTCAGAATCCACTGGCTGACATAGTCTCTTCATAGTTAGAATTCTGAGATCAGCAGTTCAGTTGGAGGGATCTCCAAAGAAACTTCATCTGAGGTGATCCCAGACCTGATTCTTGCGTGAGTTTGCTAGTATATGGTCCGGAACTGTCCGTCGCCCCAATCAGCTTATGCTCATGCTGGTTGTTGCACTTGCTGAGTCAGTTCTGTTTCCAGCCCTGTCTTCCACGTGAACCAACAGGTGTTGTAGTCCAGCCCGATCCTACCCACTTCATAGTCGGTCCTCACGCAAACCAGTGGGAGCTGCAGCCTAGTTGGGGCAACTCCCCATAACCCCCACCAGGCCTGTCCCCTACCCTGGTTCCCATGCTTGCCAGTATGTACCGCAGGCTTGTTCAGTCTGTCCCACATCCCATTTAGCTCTCATACTTGTCAATGGGCATTGAAGCCTAGTTCAACCCAACCAACCTACCATCCAGCCCACACACCTACTGGCAGGTGCCTTTCTGTCTAGCCATGCCTGCCCCTGTCCTGATTTTTGTGCTCTCCAGTGGGAGTAATAACCCACGAGGGAGGTGCCCACTATCTCCCTACTAGGCTACTCCCAGTGCCAGCCTCTGCCAGCTAATGCTGCGGCTAAGCCCAACCAACCCTCACCCGCTCTAATTTTGCTTGCACCAGTCAGGACAGTACCTCCTGTCCTAGCAGGAACAGTGGCTTTTCGTGACTGACCTTCAACCCAATCTGGTTCTTACTGTTGGATATTTCAACCCAGCCGCTGCTCGTCCATACCCACATACAGCTCACACATGGTAAAGTAAGGGCTGAGACGTAGGCTAGTCTGTCACACATCTACCCTGGTCCACCAGAGCACAAGATGGTGCTGGAGTCTAGCCCGGTTTGGTGTGTCCAGTCACAGTGGGATATCTGGAATTGTAACTCAGGTCCATCTGATTTCCTTGCTAATGTCATTTCTACTCATACTCTCTTTGTGCATGGCCTCACAAGTTCTAGTTGACACTATTGCATTGTCTTCACCCTGCCTTCTTCCTAGTGCCTGCATGCCAGCCCTCCCTGCCACGTCCTTGCCAAATTTGATTGACCATGTGAGGTGGGTCCTGGAGGGCAGACAGCTTGTCTTACTAATCTTTGCGCACCAGCCCAATGCTTAGGTCTACACGTGGTGCTTTCGAGGTGCTTACAGACTTGCATCCAGTATGCTCGTACCACTTTTTAAAACTCAAACCCTTTTTTGGTCTTCAACTGTATAGGATAAATCTAGCCTTGCAGCCTCACCTCTCATCAATGTTTATTGGATTCCAGCCATGGTATGATTTTTCATACGTGAATGCGTGACACCCAGTCAGGTTCCTGTAGCTTTCTTTGTTCTACCCTCCCCTTTTAATTATGATGAATTCTGAGAATTAAAGTGCTACTTTATTTTGAAACATGACATCTTTCTGTCCCTGATTCTGTATTTTCATTACAGATGGTTTAAATACTCATTCTGTGGCACCTAGTAAGTTACTGTCCATTGAATACATAGCTTTCCCTCCTCTATTCCTACTTCTGATTTGGGAGCGCTTTGAAGACAGATACATCTCAATTGTTTATTTATGGATTTTTTTTTAATTGGAAAAACAGTGATACAGGGACAAACATCAGACAAAGCTCCTATCTACCAGTTGACGCCCCAGGTGCCTGAGATGCTCAGTCCAAAGCTGGGAACTGGAAACACAGAGGTGTGTGATGGGACCCAAGGTGTACATTAGCTAGAACCAGGACTCAAACCCTGGCACTGCAGCTTGGGACCCAAGGTGTACATTAGCTAGAACCAGGACTCAAACCCTGGCACTGCAGCTTGGGACCCAAGGTGTACATTAGCTAGAACCAAGATTTGAGCCCAGGCACTGCAGCCCGGGACACAGGTGTCTTAGCTGGTGACTTTTAACCACTACGCCAAATGTTCACCATTGATTCATTTTGAATATCCCCAGTGTTCTAGCACAGCACCTAACACGTAACATAGAAATCCGTGTTCATCTAGATACCAAGGTCATTTCCACTTAGAAATTACATCCCGTGTCCTTATCAAGTTGATTGCAGAGTAGGAATAGAGCAGTTACATTTCTTGAACCGTAACCCAATAAAAATGAGTGGTAATTTTGGTATGTAGAAAATTTTGTATTTGTTTTCTATAATGATTATTCTTACCAATATAGATAATTCAGTGGATTACGCCGGAATTTTATGTTTTGCCTGTGTTAGTGAGCTTTCAGCAAATGTTTGGTGAGTGAATGAACCAGCGAATTAATGTAGCTCGCTGGAAGGATCTGGGTTCATCTTGTCAGCATGCCCAGATAATCAGAAGGAGAGTCTCCACAAAGAGATGCTGCTCAGCAGGGTGTCTAAACCAGTTTCTCTGAAAATAAGAACACACCGTCCTAGTCGAGTACATTTACAAATGTTGGCCAGAGTTTGAAGCTGAAATCCACTAGGTATCACATGATCTAGTTAGAACATACCAGACAAATATCCACATGAGAACCATATAAGCTGGTGGTCACTTCTTGATTTTGTGACTTTTTTTAACTATTTTCCCAAGTGTAGGCTCTATTATTGCTACTACTACTACTAATAATAATAATAATTTCCCAACAGTTTGGCCAACAAGTCTCTATATAAAACAACTAGACCCTTTTCTAATAAGACTTTTATTTTGGTGTTTATATTCTTAAACCTCTGATGGTACATAAAAAGAAAAGTGAGATTTTTTTTTTCAAATATATGAAATGGAACAGCATCTGCTGTTAAAGATTTCATTGATGGCTTTCTGGTAACTGACTGTGCAATATCTTCATGCTGTAACTCAGCTTCCCCTGCCTGCCAGGAGAGACGCCCCCTAGAGACGCTCACTTTGTGTTCTTCGCTTCACTTTCCTTCTTCATTACAGACTTCTGCCGCCCTTCTGCAAACCTCACTGCTAACCTTCATTCTTAGTTGCTGACACTAATTCTTCTTCTCAACTGCAACCACAGCTGTCTTCAGAACATTCTTTTTTTTTTTTAAGATTTATTTATTATTGAAAAGTCAGATATACAGAGAGGAGGAAAGACAGAGAGGAAGATCTTCTGTCCGATGATTCACTCTCCAAGTGAGCATAACGGTCAATGCTATGCTGGTCTGAAGCCAGGATCCAGGAACTTCTTCCGGGTATCCCACGCGGGTGCAGGGGCCCAAAGCATTGGGCCATCCTCGACTGTTTTCCCAGGCCACAAGCAGGGAGCTGGAAGGGAAGTGGAGCTGCCCGGATTAGAACCGGCGCCCATATGGGATCCCGGCGCGTGCAAGGTGAGGACTTTAGCCGCTAAGCCATGCCACCGGGCCCCAGATCATTCTTCTTAAGATTATGTCTCCGTTCATTAGGAAGTGTTTCTTGAACCCCGCTAGAAGCCAAGTTGTGTGTTGGAGCCGCTGCAGGAAGCACAGCAGAGTCCTGGCCCTCCGTGTTTACAGTGTCCAGTGTTCGGTGAAAGACAGACAGTTCAGTGGTGCTTGCAGCACAGCGTGTTGAGGTCTGCGGTGGGAGGGTGCTGCTTTCATCAAACTTGCTCTGTCTTCATGGTGGTTAAGTGTGCCTGGAACCCTTTCTCTGTTCTGGTTAGGACTACTTACCCTTTCTGAGTCAGCATACCTCACAAAGCACAGGAAATGGAGCTTTCCTTTCCTTTTATGTTTGCTCTTTTATCATTATCAGCCTCTGCTTTCCTGAGTTTATCAGCCATTACTGTCCATCTGTTATTTACCAAATGTAGGGTTATTACCATGTGAGCATCATCTTAGGCACAGCTTAGGGATAATTCCAGTGTGTTTTCTATTTTCTTGGTTGCCTATTAGATTAATGTTACCCAGCTTGTTATTGAGTAGACTAATATGTTGATTGTTAATGGCTGCCTCTGATATAAACCTGGAATGGATGCTTTGTCCGTGTTATCCCCTAATTTCAACAGTATTTTAAAAAATGACCCTCAATATCTTTAGTAATTCATTTTTTCAGTACACTTTATTAAAAACCCTTAATTGGGTCTCAGAGGTCCCAAAGATGAGAATTATAGTCTCTAACCCTAAGAACTCAGTACCTGGAAGAGCCAAAATTCTAAACGAAATGTACTAGAAGCGAGTACAGGAGTTCCTTGGTATGCAGAGGAGAGCACAGCACGCGTTAGTGAGTTCAAGTGAGCATTGTCTGGAAGCAGGTGCCCCAGCAGGGAACACGGGGAACCCAGGCCAAGTACCACTTGGGTTTTGAGGCTGGGTGCAACAAATGGATGTCTGTTTACAAATGAGAAACTTTAAGTGGCATCGAAATATGTTTTTTTTTTTTTATTCTCTAGCATTCAGTTAGGTAAGCTTTTATAGAACAGGTGGCTCCTATTCTGAAAATAATGGAAAGTAATAGCAAGCATCATAGTAAAAATGTGTGAAGTAAATGCGTGCAGGATTGTTTTTTGTCATTTGTTATTTCAAACTGGAGAAAAAGTCTTGATTTTAGTGTTTATAGCTACTATATCCATATTTTTTTTTAAAAAAAGCATTAAAGTATTCAAAACTCAAAATTCAAGTTAATCCTTAAATGAGAAACTGTTTTCAACCAGTATATTCACAAACGTTATGTTTCATTATATAAATGACTTGGGCTTTGAGGTGATTTTTTGGGGGGCTTTGAGGTGATTTTTTTTTTTATAGCCTACATCTTCTAAAAATTAAAATGTGATAAGAATAATGCAGAACTCCCAAAAAGTCTATTGAGGATCAGCCTTGGTTGCTATGAACTAGCATAACTTGTAAGGAGCTCTTTCAACATTTCTTGATATTGATATCTCTGCAAGATACGATTTTCATTAAAATGATGCCATGCATCTTCCAGGTCTCTCGACTCCGGGCTCACAAGCGCCTTACAAGGTCTGTGTGTCCCAGACACGCACCTGGTGGAAGTAGACGGGGACACGCTCTCGCTGTACGGCGCAGGCGCGCTGGAATCCCTGGACCGGAGTTGGAGCGCTCAGACTGCAGGAATGGTCACAACTGTCTCTTTCATGTTCATAGAATTCGATGAGATTGTCCAAGTGCTTCCCAAGTTGAAGATCAAGTTTCCTAATTGTCTGGTAAACATTTCCTTTTAGGAGTATATTTGAATTATTCTGAGGCATGACTTGTATGTTCAGGCCAAAGTCCTGTTTAACTTTTATTTATATCGTTTCTAACTGGCTGGGAAACTAAGCGTTTGTGTTAGTTTTCTAAAGCTGGAATTTAAATCAAGGCTCATAAATGGCTTTGCAGTTTTGTGTTAGTATTGGAAATTATAGTCCTAAAAATGACCCTTTATGCGATAGAAAAGACTAATATAGTTTTACTCAAACTCTGTTTTTCCTTCACATTGCATTCAGCAGGACCACACAGCCTTAGATTACACATTTAGCTATTGTACTTGGTATTGATGGAACAGGTGCATCTATTGTACATGTACAATATTGAAACTGCACTTTAAAACTACTTTGAGAAGTTAGCCTTCCCCAGTTACGATGTTAACCATGTTGTTTAGTAGTATGCATCTACAGAAAGTGGTTTTGGTAATGAGTTCTCTCCTGAATTCTTGTCGCCATCATGTCTTTCTCCATCAGGCGAGGGTCATTCCTCACTTGCTCTTTCCTGGTGGCTCCAGGAAGGAGCCGGGTATGGAAAAAGCCAGGCAAAGGCGCCCACAGCACCCTGGCACTTGTGACTTGCACTTTCTGAAGCCATTCCAGCCAACCTGAGTAGCGCCAGGCAGGACACGGGAGCCTCATGGGCCCTGTATTCCTAAAGTCTCTAGGTTTCCATTTCCAGTCCTTTCTTTGGTAGGCTTAATGTCAGCGTAAAGCATATAAAATTATGGTAGCGCCAGAAAGAGTCTGAATTATTTGACACTTGCATAACTTTTACAAATCTCAGCTTGTTAGTAGATGGGGTTATCCTTTTTCAGAGTCACACAGAATTTAATATTGGATGGATTCCATCAATGATGCATTGAATGAATTAAAGTTATGTAACTTTATGGCATGCAGTCGACTCAATGTAATTGAAAACATATTTGCTAAGCCAAACATTTACAGATTGACTTGGAGAGTGATCAGCGAGGCTCTTCATGTTAATATTTTAAGATGGCTAAACTCAGCAGTCCGTTATTTTCTGTTTTAATTTTTGAAGCACCTTAAATTCAAGGAGACAAACCTGGTCATGTTGCAGCAGTTCAATGCTCTGGCACAGCTCCGTCGGGTTGACCAGCTGACCATCGACCCTCAGGGAAACCCTGTGGTCAACTTCACTCTCTGGAAGTATTACGTATTGTTCCGGCTCAGCCATTTCAGCATGCAGAGAATAAACGGAACTGAGGTACGCTATGCCTGGGGCACCGCGGCGAAGGTTGTAGGGGAAATAGTAAGATTTAGTAAGATAGTAAAATGCAATCATGATAGGACTTTGGAGAAGTACTGTATTTTGTACAGAGAGCTTGACATTCCAAACATGAAAAAGCTAAAAGTCTTACCTAAAATCTTCTGAAGCATTTAACACCTTTAACATTTTGACAATAAAAAAAAGGGAACCAGGTCACGGTGAATAGTACATATGTTTGCTTTTGTTGGTAGGCTAAGGAACTAAACAAAAAATGAAAAAGAGAAATAAAGGAGAAAGTAAAAAAATGAGAGAAAAAGGAGATGAAGCCATCAGGAAATGAGCCTTGGCATCGCTCGGCTAACGATTGGCTAGCGGGGTGGTGCCAGCTGCCTGTGTCACAGCCACTTTGGGCTTCTCTCCAGTGAGCTAGAAAATTGTCACTGTAGTGAATTTTAAGCTGATTCCTCAAGAGGGTGATCCTTCAGTTCCCTGGGACCAGATTCTCTTTAAAACGCGACTTGGAAGAGAGGGACTATACTTCTGGCTGCACTAACTTCAAATAAGCCTTCATTACGTCATTATTTGTATTGCAGTTATCTATTGCAAATGAGAAGCACTCTTGCTATAAGATCTCAACTGTCATCAGCTTTCCGAGCGTTGTGGCTCTGCTTGCCCACAGCTGACATGCTGCAGGTCCCTCTGGTCTAGAACGACCCGCTGGGAGACAAGCCAGGCAGCGTGTCCACCTGCTGTGCGAGGCTGTGACAGCATGAGCCCTGTGACGTTGGCCAAATCTGGACCCACGAGCTGACTGGTTTCTCTAGGGGGGCTCTCTCCTGTGTGTGACCTCGTGTGCCCTCAGCAGTGGCAGAGAGACAGCGAGTCCTGCTGTGTTCACGTAGTCAGCCTCCAAGTTTTCCTAGATCTGCAGAGGACTACTTCTTCCTCAATAATGACTGTGCTGTTGCCCTGGTTAACCCTAAATAGTCTATTTACCATTAAGAATGGATCATTTCTAAAGGAATGCCTTATATTATGGGACTTTGAAACAGAGAAGTGTAATTACACAGAGAAAATTCAAGAAGAAATCAACAGAATTGATTCTGATTTAAATTTCTGAAAATTTCAGGCCCAGCGTGGTAGCGTAGTGGCTAGAGTCCTCACCTGGCATGCACCGGGATCCCATATAGACATCAGTTCTAATCCTGGCTGATCCACTTCCCTTCCAGCTCCCTGCTTATGGCCTGGGAAAGCAGTTGATGGTCTAAAGCCTTGGGACCCTGCACCTACAAGGGAGACCTGGAAGAAGCTCCTGGCTCATGACATCAGATTGGCTTGGCTCCAACTATTGTGGCCACTTGGGGAATGAACCAGCAGATGGAAGATCTTTTTGTCTCTCCTTCTCTCTGTAAATCTGACTTTCTAATAAAAATAAATACATCCTTAAAAAAATTCCTGAAAATTCCAACGCTGGAGATATTTTATGTCTTATTAAGATATCTAACAAGCTTAGCCTCGTATAAAATCATTAATATTTTGTGGCATAATTGCATTAAATTTGTGATATTAATTCAAGTAGTATTGAGTGCCTGGAGGATCGGATGAAGCAGTGACTTGTATTGGCCGCTAGGTGACGCCATTGCACCAGCAACTTTGTTGTCAGTCAAAGTAAGAATCTGAGGAGTCCTGTCCTGCACTTGAAGAGTCTGTGTGTAGGTGTTTATGAACAAGTTCTTGTTCAGAAAATGCCTGTGCAGTGTGTGACAGCCTCAATAAGGAGGACAAAATTTAGCTGTGCTGATATTTCTTTATTTTTAAAGATTTAGTTAGCATTTTTATTGGAAAGTCAGGTATACACACAGGAGGAGAGTCAAAGAGGAAATCTTCCATCCAATGATTCACTCCCCAAGTGGCTGCAATGACCAGAGCTGCGCCAATCCGAAGCCAGGAGCCAGGAGCCAGGAGCTTCTTCTGGGTCTCCCACACAGGTGCAGGGTCCCAAGGCTTTGGGCCATCCTCGACTGCTTTCCCAGACCGCAAGTAGGGATAGCTGGATGGAAAGTGGAAGAGCCAGGACACAAAGTAGCACCCATATGGGATCCTGGCACATGCAAGGCGAGGATTTAGCCACGAGGCTATTGTGCTGGACGCCATACTGAAGTTTCTCAAGCAGAACTCTATTGGTATTCTGGGCCATAGAGTTCTTCCCCAGGAGGACTGTCCTGTGTACTGGACCTTACCCATCACGTGCCAGTAATACCCCTGTACCAGGTACAAGCCAGCAGTGTCTCCAGACCTCCCAGTGCCCCTTGTTGGTCATCGCAGTGTTGTGCATACGGACCAGCAGCTTTCAAAATGCAAGCAGCCCTGTTTTATAACACAGAAAATAGGTCCAAATATTAATCCAAGTCCTGCTTTCTGCTTTTAATGCAGAAATACTAACAGGGATTACTATATAGTGGAATATCACAGGATACACCTATGACAAGTTATCCTTGTGGGGAGAGCGGCTCAGCTACACACAGAATGAGCAGCAGTATCCTCGCTAACCCCGAGAGAGTTCCAGCTCTTGGTGAAGCACAGCGTTGTCCTTACACGGGCGAGTGATGAGTGCTACCTTGGCCTACCTCTGATGTCTTGAAACGAATATTCCCATTAACTTTGGAAAAAACTTTCCCCCCAAAATTTCCTAGTCCAAGAAGCTGTGGAATTTATGAGGAAATTCAAGAAGAATGCAGGGCACCTCAGGCAGGCGTCTTGCTTAGGAAAGAAAGTTTCAACATCAGCTAACTTGTCAACCCCCCAATCAACTTCTATCACCACGAGCCACTGGTTTGTCTTCATTTTAATCAAGTTCCAGGAAGAAGGGGGAAAAAATGAGGATGTTGGGAGCTCAAGCCCGTGAGAATACGCCTCCTTGAGCTAACAGGAAACACACCATTGGAGTGTGTCTGTGGGGTGCAGTGTCTGGGGGTGTGTCTGGGGGGTGCACTGTCTGGGGTGTGTCTGTGGGGTGCACTGTCTGGGGTGTGTCTGTGGGGTGCACTGTCTGGGGTGTGTCTGTGGGGTGCAGTGTCTGGGGTGTGTCTGTGGGGTGCAGTGTCTGGGGTGTGTCTGGGGTGTATCTGGGGTGTGCAGTGTCTGGGGGTGTGTCTGTGGGTACACTGGGGGTGTGTCTAGTGTGCACTGTCTGGGGGTGCGTCTGGGGTGCACTGTCTGGGGGTGTGTCTGTGGGGTGCACTGTCTGGGGTGTGTCTGTGGGGTGCACTGACTGGGGGTTTGTCTATGGAGTGCACTGTCTGGGGTGTGTCTGGGGTGCAGTGTCTGGGGGTGTGTCTGTGGGGTGCAGTGTCTGGGGTGTGTCTGCGGGGTGCACTGTCTGTGGCCCATAGTCCTGCTGTTTTGACCTTCCCTGCCCTTTCCTCTCTCTCTTCAGGTGACTCAGAACGACCTGATCATGGCTGAGCGGCTCTTTGGCATCCTTGCACATGTGGCATCATCTGAATTACCCCAGTACCGTCTGATTTCAATTCTGGGCGATGCCAGGTAGCCCCTTCACATCTGTTGTTTTTAATAGAATGAGACCATTGCACTCGGAGAAGAAATGAATTCTACATACCCATGCACTGTGTCATGTATACATCCTACAGCTGTGTCACCTGAACTTAGGCTGCAGCTGGCCCCATTCCAAGCGTTGGAGATAGAGACATAAATTAGACAAGGGCCTTGTTCTTGTGTTATCACAGGATCTACAAAGGAGTTTGAAGGTGCACAAAAGGGACACAGGAGAGAGGGGCTACACTCTGGAAGAACGTGGGGGAGGGCTTCACAGGGATGCAGCATTCCATTGGGTTCTTCAGGGCTGAGTAGAAATTACCCAGATAGGGACCAGTGTTGGGACATAACAGGTTAAGACAGTACTTGTATCCCTGGCTTAGGATGGCCACTCACATGGGAGACCCAGAAAAAGCTCCTGGCTCCTAATTTTGATCTGGCAACAAGTGTTGTGGCCACTTAAAGGGTGAATCAGAAGATGGAAGACGCCGTCTCTGTTTTCATAACTGACTTTAAAATAAATAAATATGTAAAAATAAAAGAGGTTTTTCAGGTGGAGGAAGGGTATAGAGGAAGAAATCTGCAAAAGCCCAAGGAATTGTCCATAGCTCCCAGGAATTGGAGCGGGGGATGATATGAGGTAATTGATGGGAAATGATGGGTAATGGTGGCCCTGTGGGTTCAGACGCTTGTGGTCCGTGCAAGACGAAAAATGAAAATCTGCTTGGTAGCAAGCCCAGTCATGTGATCAGCCTGAAGAAGGCTGCCATTTAAGCAGACCAAGACTGAAGGAATAGAGACCAAGCAAGGGACAGATCTACAGTCCAAAAGAGAGATAGGGATGAGGAGAGCTGGGGCAATCCTTGGGAAGGGTAGCTGATACAGCCTGACAGGCAGCTGCGTTGGAGGGAGGTTGTAGAAACCACATGGCTGAAGTAGTGAGAACATGATTAGTTCCCACACAGGTTGGCATCTGCAATGCCTGTGCAAGCTCAAGGAACCAATGTTTAGACTGGACCTCCAGCAGTGACTCCCAAAGCAAGCTTGACAAGAAAGCATCACTTGTGTTCCAGAGCCCATAGTCACACCGCGTTAGCTACACTGGGGACAAGGAAGGACCTGCCTTCCTCCCAGACCCTCCCAAAGCCAGCTGCCCACTGTGATTTACATAGAATGGGTGCCTGGTGTCTTCCTCCTGCCCACAACCTCCCCCACCCCCCTTAAATCCCTCTGAATCCAAAGCTGACCCAAGAACGTCTGATTGATGGACACTTTTGAGATCTTTTTATTGAAAAGGCAGATTTACATGGAGAAGAAGAAATAGAGAGAGAGAGAGAGAGATCTTCCATTTACTGGTTCACTCCCCAAGTGACCACAACGACACGAACTGAGCCAATTTGAAGTCCAGTCTCCCTTGCAGGTGCAGGGTACCAAGGCCTTGGGCCATCCTCTACAGCTCTCCCAGGCGAGCTGGAAGGGAAGTGGATCAGCCGTTTGGGACCCCAGCGCTTGGAAGTGGAGGATTAGCCAGTCAGGCTGTCATACTGAGCCCGGGTAGACTCTTAAGTTTGCTTCAGAATCCACAAAGCTATTTTAAAAAACAAAACAAAACAAAAAACAAACACAAAGGGGGCGTTGTATTCAAGAAATTACAGTGTAGAAAGTCATCAACAAACATTATGGCTGCCTAAATGAATATTTCTGCATAGAATGATTTTATAATCTGAAAATTTAAACTCCAAAAAATTCTCAGAGAATGAAAGCTTGCAAAGTTTCCTTCCCTGTTCAGGAGAGAGAATAGATACTAATTCACAAAAAAATTACGGAAAAACACACATTTAACTACACGTCTTAAATTTTTAAGGTCTGCTAATAAAAGCTATAGAACTTGTAAACTAATTTTCAGAAAGAAAGAAGAAAATAGAAAAGTATATGATTTTCCCCTGATAAATATTAATGAATAAATGCTCTTAAGAAACAGTAGCTCTCAGCTTGTACAAAAAAATTGATGAGGTACTGTTTTTGTGCAGCATTGCCAAAGAAACCCCTAATGACTGAATATACAAGGAATTGAAAATTTAAAGGGACTGTTAATATTACTGATAATATAACTGATGAGACTGAAAACTGCTAGTCACCAAAAACCAAAGTTATAAAACAATGTAACCACAATCACACCTTCTCCACATAGCAACCAATACAGTATATATCAACACATTTCATTATTATAGTAGGATAGCATTGATATACTACTCTCATAAATCAGGTCAAATAAACCAAAGTTAAAAAGATTATGGAGGATTTAAATAATGCAGTTAACACATTTTATTTTTTTTTTAGATGTATTTATTTTTATTACAAAGTCAGATATACAGAGAGGAGGAGAGATAGAGAGAGAAAGATCTTCCATCCAATGATTCACTCCCCAAGTGAGCACAACGGCCGATGCTGTGCCGATCCGAAGCCAGGAACCTCCAGGTCTCCCACGCAGGTGCAGGGTCCCAAAGCTTTGGGCCATCCTCAACTGCTTTCCCAGTTCACAAGCAGGGAGCTGGATGGGAAGCAGGGCTGCCGGGATTAGAACCGGCGCCCATATGGGATCCCGGCGCATACAAGGCAAGGACGTTAGCCACTAGGCCACGCCATTGGGCCCAGTTAACACACTTTTTAAAAAAATCATTATATTAAATATACACAGGTGAGTATGACTGGAGAACTTCCCAGATGGTTGACGACACCATCATCAGGGTGAGGTTGTATCAGGAGTGTGCCTGCTTCTCCCATTTTTCAGCATTTCCTACGAAACTTCCCTGGCTTAAGCAGAAAAGAGACTGTCATCGCTGAGAAGCTGTGATCCAAAAGCAGTCCTCAGGCTGACCGACGGCCTGGATTCTTAACACAGGGGGGCTTCACAGTGATATCAAAGTTTAAACATCACTTTCTTTAGCTATCTGGGCAAAGCAAGCACATTTCCTCTGATTACTCTCACTTTGCCTCCAGGAATCGCCACCACTGATTTTCAAGGCTAATGGCCAGCACACAATAGAAAAATTAATAAATAACCACACACACACAGAAAGATCTTCCATTTACTGGTTCACCATGTGTAAGCCACCACGTATAAGAGCTAACAGAAAAATACGGTCAATGGACACAGACCCACGAACACCTTTTCAAAGTCGCTGCGTTATCACTCCAGAATTGTGAAATTGTAAGCAGGCAGTAAGCACAAGGGTTCTGGTGTGGCATGCGTGTCAATGGGAACCAGCCAGAAACCTGAGCCCAGCTTAAGCAGAAAGGGTTAGATGTGGGCTGGCCAAGCCAGGAGCAGGGGAGTCTCCTGGCCCAGAACCCAGCTCCCCAGGCAAGCAGGAGGCATAAGCCTTGCGGGCTTGCTGTCGGGGAAGTTGCACACTTACTCATGATATTTTGGGGGTGATTCTGGAAGGGAAGGTGTGTATGTAGAAGAGGGTGGGCGCCCATGTCCACTGAGTTAGCATCATGGATGTTATGCATTCCATGCTCAGCTGAAGGTGGAGACTGAACGTTGGAATGAGGGATCTGGGGCTTTCAGCATGGTCTTGCTGCTTGTGCACAGAGCCTTCCGCCGGCTTCGGTGGGTCCCAGCTGGTGGTTTCCTATAAAGGGGAGGTCAGCACTGAACCACGTGCTCATTCACCCAGCTGCGAATGAGCTGCCGCTTGCAGGGAACATCTTACAGGTTTGCAACTGGGATTCAAACGGGGTTGGCTTGTTTTCCCTGCAATTGTAAAGGGGATGGTTGTGCTTAGTGTATTTCACAAGAGAAAAAGAAACTGCAAAATATCTGGAGATAGGAAAAAAATGTAAAAAGTCACCCAGCGTATCTGAAGGAAGTTTTATAAACAAACAAACAAAAATGTAAAATTAGACTCCTGCAAGAATGGCCAACGGTGGTAGGCAGATGTGACCAGGGGGTGCGGGAAGTAGGGGATGGGAGGTGACAGAGGGCAAGAGGAAGAGAATCATGGGGAACACTGCGGGAAATCCCCGAGCACGCAGCCGTGAAAGAGACGCGGAAGACTGAACCACAACCTGAGAGGGTCAAGGAGGGCTCCCCCCAGGGCTACAGAGAGCGAACTTTGCTGAGTCGCTAACACAGGGAAGTGCCTGCCCCTAGCAGGGGGAGAGGGGCAGGTGGACCCTGGGAACAAACCACGGGCAAAGGAAGTCTGAACTGAGGAATGTGTGGAGCTAGGCGACCTGGCCGGAGGAGGAAACGCCATTGCGCAGAAGGAAACAGAGGCGGGGAGAACCTGGGAACTGGAATCCCCCCTCCCCGCACCAGGCTGCGCCACGCAGGGGGCCACGAGGACTACATGAAAGGGAGACCTAGTATCTACCTCTAATATCGCCCGGGACCGAGGCACCCACAGGATCGCAGAGTCGTGGGAGTGAGGAAGAGGGAGGAGGGGTAAGCTCTCCCAACAGAGCAAGTACACACATATACATAAAATTAGAAATTAGGGCCCGGCAGCGTGGCCTAGCAGCTAAAATCCTCACCTTGAACACCCCAGGATCCCATATGGGCGCCGGTTCTAATCCCGGCAGCTCCACTTCCCATCCAGCTCCCTGCTTGTGGCCTGGGAAAGCAGTAGAGGACAGCCCAAAGCCTTGGGACCCTGCACCTGTGTGGGAGACCCAGAAGAGGTTCCTGGCTCCTGGCTTCGGATTGGCATAGCATCGGCCATTGCGCTCACTTGGGGAGTGAATCATTGGATGGAAGATCTTCCTCTCTGTCTTTCCTCCTCTCTGTATATCTGACTTTGCAATGAAAATAAATAAATCTTTAAAAAAAATAGAAATTAATGGGAAGATTTTAGACACAGTTGAAAAGAGAGCAGCTGAGAGATGGGTTAGAGGGACTCAAGAACCCAGCATAAAGGTCAAAGAAAAGAGTATGTGGGAAAATGGCAAGGAAATTGGCAAGGAAAATGGCAAGATGACCCGAGTTAGAAGATTCAGTATCTGTTGGACTGGGGTTGCAAGAGTCCTGATAGAGGATGGGGCAGAGACAACAGCAGGCAATTTCCAGTACTGAGGAAGACACAAGTCGACCTCATAAAAGAGTTCAACCAACAAAAGGAAGACAAATGGAAAGAACCTACACATGACCCTATCACAAGGAAACCAAGGAACGAAAGGAGAACAGTTGTTAAACAGCTAAGAAAAGAGAGGCTATCCAAAAAGGAGTACAGACACCAGTTGACCTCAAGACAGCGACGGTGGAAGACAGAAGACAGAACAATCACTGCTGTGTTCTGAGTGCTGTGACCATGTACTGAGTGTTAGGTTCCATGTACTGAGTGCTGTGTTCCATGTACTGAGTGCCATGTTCTATGTACTGAGTGCTGTGTTCCATGTACTGAGTGCTGTGTTCCATGTACTGAGTGCTGTGTTCCATGTACTGAGTGCCGTGTTCTATGTACTGAGTGCCGTGTTCCATGTACTGAGTGCCGTGTTCTGTGTACTGAGTGCTGTGTTCTGTGTGCTGAGTGCTGTGTTCTGTGTGCTGAGTGCTGTGTTCTGTGTGCTGAGTGCTGTGTTCTGTGTGCTGAGTGCTGTGTTCCATGTACTGAGTGCTATGTTCTGTGTACTGAGTGCTGTGTTCCATGTACTGAGTGCTGTGTTCCATGTACTGGTTGCTGTGTTCTGTGTACTGAGTGCTGTGTTCCATGTACTGAGTGCCGTGTTCCATGTACTGAGTGCCATGTTCTATGTACTGAGTGCTGTGTTCCATGTACTGAGTGCCATGTTCTATGTACTGAGTGCTGTGTTCCATGTACTGAGTGCCGTGTTCTATGTACTGAGTGCTGTGTTCCATGTACTGAGTGCTGTGTTCTGTGTACTGAGTGCTGTGTTCTGTGTGCTGAGTGCTGTGTTCCATGTACTGAGTGCATGTTCTATGTACTGGGTGCCGTGTTCTATGAACTGAGTGCTATGTTCTGTGTACTGAGTGCTGTGTTCCATGTACTGAGTGCTGTGTTCCATGTACTGGGTGCTGTGTTCTGTGTACTGAGTGTTAGGTTCCATGTACTGAGTGCTGTGTTCTGTGTGCTGAGTGCTATATGTTCCATGTACTGAGTGTTAGGTTCCATGTACTGAGTGCTGTGTTCTGAGTGCTGAGTGCTGAATTCTATGTACTGAGTGCTATGTTCCATGTACTGAGTGCTGTGTTCCGTGTGCTGAGTGCTGTGTTCTATGTACTGAGTGTTAGATTCCATGCACTTAGTGCTGTGTTCTGTGTGCTGAGTGCTGTGTTCCTTGTACTGAGTGTTAGGTTCCATGTACTGAGTGCTGTGCTCTATGTACTGAGTGCTGTGTTCTGTGTACTGAGTGCTGTGTACTGAGTACTGTGTTCTGTGTACTGAGTGCTGTGGATTGTGTGTGGTGTCCAGTACTGGGTGCTGTGTTCCATGTATGAGTGCTGTGTTCTGTGTACTGGGTGCTGTGTTTCATGTACTGAAACTGTCCCTAACCTGAACCTGTACACATAGGCAGACGTGTATTTTAGGGCTGATGTGGTTTCTGTGATTTGCGATCAGTGTGGACCCCTGGCCTGGTAATTAGGTGTATTTCCAGGAAGTCATAACACAGCCATTACCACCTCAGCCTGCTCAGCTATATAAAATGGGTCCACTGATGGTTCTGGTGAAGAGCCAAAGGTCATTGGATTGAACTGAAAATTAAGTTCAGCTACATGTTTATAAGAGACGCATCTGAACCATAAGGCTGCAATGAAGTTTGGAAGCTTAAAAAATGGGAAAGGATAACTCGCATGAATTTGAACCAAAATAAAAACATAGAGCCCTTGTGAACTCAACAGACTTTAAGGTTAATACTAGAAAGAAAGATTATGTCTTATGATGGTAGATTCTGTTTGCCAGAAAGATACAGCAAATTTAAATATGTGGACACCTATTAGGATAACGTTAAAAACTTACAACCCCCAAATGCACAATTAAGGTGGGAACTTTTAATATAGATACTAAATTATGAATAGAACAAGTATGTGATAATACTAATAATATGATAACAGATTTGACTTCATGGACATTTAGGGAATATTCCTGCCAACAACTACAAAATACACATTGTTTTCCAACACATGTAGAACATTTATGAAAGTTGACCAAAAGCTATCCAGAAGCAAAAGTCAGCATGTTGCAAAGAATCACACTTGCCTGGCGTGTGTTCTCTGTTAATAATGCATTTGAACTTTAGCCCAATTTCAGAATGATAGCCAGGAATCTCCATATATTTGGAAATCAAGAAATATTTCTGATGAACCCACAGGTTAAAGACAATCTCATAATGGTAATTTGACACTAGTTTGTACTGAAATATAATAAAAATATTTTAAAACTTGTAGGATTAGGCCTGGCGTGGTGGCCTAGTGGCTAAAGTCCTCGCCTTGAACATGCCGGGATCTCATATGGGCGCTGGTTCTAATCCCGGCAGCTCCACTTCCCATCCAACTGCCTGCTTATGACCTGGGAAAGCATTCGAGGATGGTCCAATGTCTTGGGGACCCTGCACCCGCATGGGATACCTGGAAGAAGCTCCTGGCTTCAGATCAGCTCAGCACCAGCCATTGCGGTCACTTGGGGAGTGAATCATTGGATGGAAGGTCTTTCTGTCCTCCTCTCTGTATATCTGCCTTTCCAATAAAAATAAAATAAATCTTAAAAAAAAAACTTGTAGGATTATATTAAGCTGGTACTAAATGAAAGTATGTTACTGTTGAAGCAAGTGTATCAGGAAAAAAGGAAGAGCAAAAATCAATGCACCAAGCATGTATATCACAAAATTAGAGGAAAGAAGAGTGAACCTGAGGGATGTTAAAGGAATGACATTAAAAAAAAGAACTAATGGGAAGTTGACTATTTTAAAAGATTAGTAAGAGAAAATGCATGTGACAGTGCTTTTGTTAAAGTAGTAAATAGATGCTGGTAAGGAGCTATGTGTTACCTTTTTCTTTATAAAAGAAAATTATAATACCTCAATATTCAGTCAAAGGGACTAATTAAGTAAATTGTGATCTATATACACTTGGCTTTCATTTACTTATTAAAATTGTAATTTTAGTGATGTGAGAAATGTCATTGCGTAGCATTCACTGAAAACTTTATGTGAAAATAAAATTTTACCACGATCCTTACTCTTTACCAAAATCTTTTTTACAAAAATCTAAGGCAAAAATACAAGCACTTAATTGCAGATTTATGTTATAAACTTGTGATGACTTTGGAAATCCCTCCCTTTTGACTTTCCAAAGTTTGTACTGTTTGAAAGTTTTGAAGTAATGTCATACTTGCAAATCAGGGACAAAAAAAGTGTGCCCCTGCGCTGCCCCAGTCCTCACCTCGCGGTTCCTGGTGAGCTAGTAGGTCGTGCCACATCCCTTAGCTGCTCTGTGAGTGGTGGCAGCCACAAGGGGAAGTTGCTGGAGGAGGAGGATTCAGAGCTGGTCTGTGAGTGTGGCTTGGAGCCTGTCCCTGCCTCCCTGCTTAGCCCGGGAGGCCCCCTCTTTCATTATTTAACCTTCTGCCAGGATCTTGCCTGAGTGTTGCACCAACAGGTGGAGGCTACTGGTGTTTTGTTTGTTGTTTTGCATAATTTGAAACCAGTATTCCAGCCCATGTTCTAGTTAAGAGTAATTTTACCGAACTGTGTAACACAATTGTGAACTATTTGTGTGATTTACAAGGACAACTAACGTGTTTTGAATATAAAGATTTTTCAAAGTTTTGCCTGTTTCACTTTCATTGGTTGGGTTGTTTGGTACTGTGTGATGTGATTTTTGTATTGTTTTTATTAATGTAGACTTTTTGCAGTTTAGAAATGTTTGAGACATGCTTATGTTGATGATGGATTGTTACTGGAGCGAAATGGTTTGGTCTGATTGGATTACTAAAGTGATTGGAGTCCTAACCTGAGCTCACTAGATAATGAACCGAAACTCACAAGACATGCCCAGAAATATGTGCTTCTCTCTAAAGTCGACAAAAGCAGATCGATTTTAGTAAGCCCAATAAGTGTGTCTCTAAATCTCTTTTCTGTTTTTCTACAGGAAAAAGCAATTCCGGTATCTACTAGAAACCAAAGGAAAAAAGCCTGGAATTGTCAATGAAGAAAATAATGACAGCAAAAGACTTGTAGCAGAAAATACAAATCGTGCGACGCTGAATTATACCACAAGAGACTTTTATAATGAAAAGCTAGAGGTAAGGCAATGACTCGTCTTTGGGATTAGTGCCTGGGTACTTCGCACATGGCCCAGTCTGGGGGAGTTGGACCTTTCACCATTAGTTAAGATAGCCTTTTCCCATCTCAGAATGTTAGCCTAGCATGTAAAGTGAAATGCAGTAGACACCAAGAAATTAGGATGAAGTAGTATCCCAAGATGAAGGAGAGCCCATCACTCCAGTGTCTTAATTTCAGCAGGAAAAAAAAAAATAAGTTCAGAAGAAATCCATACCAAAAGTCTAGGCCAGAGTAGGACTAAGGGCCATGACCCAGCTGAACTGTAAAAGGATGGAGACCTGCTGCTGTGCTGACCCGCACATGCCAGACCAGCCGAGGACACAACAGAACTGCCACTTCTGTCCCCTTGGCTTAGGCCGTGGTGTTGTGATTAGATATTTCATGCAATTAGTCATACAATAATTTAAGCCTGCTCTGTTCCTCACTATAGCTATTATCCAGAAATAATGGAAGCGGTCCTTTCTTTATGTGTTCAGAGCAATTTTAGATTTTTATTTGTTTTCATCTTGTTTTTGAAAGTCAGAGAGAAAGAGAGATTTCTTCTGTCTGCTGGTTCACTAGCAGGGCTGGACCAAGCCAAAAAAAACCTATGTGGGTCACTCATGCAGGTGACAGGACTGCAAGTACTTGGGCCACCATCTGTTGCTTCCCAAGGTGCACACTGGCAGGAACAGAGTAACCCAGACTCAAACCAGTAGCTCTAGTGTGGGAGGTGGGCGTCCCAAGTGGCAACTTCCGCTGCTGAGTCAAGTACCCAGCCCTGTGTTTGGAGATTAATGGAAAAATTCATGTCGTGGTGCTTTAGGAGCCACAAAATAGATAAGTGTGCAGCGCCTACCTTGGTGTAGCTCATAGGAAATCCGAGAACTCCCAAGTGTCCTGACCATCCTCTTAGTCATTGAACCAAAATGCTGGCCCCAGCAAGGAGTTTGGAGGCCACCAGAAGGCCAAAGAAGACAAAGCAGACGCATTCATTGAGCATCTGTGACTTACAAGCAGGAGTTGTAGGAGGAAAAGGATCTGTGTAGGGAAGAAGACAGACCCTTACAGTTCCTCAAAAAGCATATGGAGGGCCCGGAGCGGTGGCGCAAGTGGTTAAAGGTCCTCGCCTTGCACGCCCGGGATCCCATATGGGCGCCGGTTCTAATCCCGGCAGCCTCGCTTCCCTTCCAGCTCCCTGCCTGTGGCCTGGGAAAGCAGTCGAGGACGGCCCAAAGCTTTGGGAGCCTGCACCCGCATGGGAGACCCGGAAGAGGCTCCTGGCTTCGGATCGGCATAATACCGGCCCGTTGCGCTCACTTGGGGAGTGAATCATCGGACGGAAGATCTTCCTCTCTGTCTCTCCTCTCTCTGTATATCCGCCTTCCCAATAAAAAAATAATAAAAATAAATCTTAAAAAAAAAAAGCATATGGAGCTAGACACTGATACATGTAGAGATAAATCATATAAAAAGAGACATGCGTATAGCTTACCAAGAGGAAGATCTGTGTATGTCCTCACACAGGATATGCACATTTATAGACATACACCTAATTTAGTGATTCTATAGTTTACTGTGTATTATGTGAATTTCTAATTAAGACTTATCCTAAGTAACTGTAATTTAAAATAATTAATTATATATTATATAAACATATAATCTGGAAGTGAAATGACCAGGTAAATGGTATTCAAGGTTTTTTTAAAAAAGATGTATTTATTTTTTAATGGAAAGGCAGACTTACATAGAGAAGGAAAAGACAGAGAAAGATCTTCTGTCCATTGGTTCACTCCCCAAGTGGCCACAAAGATCCAAAGCCAGGAGCCAAGAGCTTCTTCCAGCTCTCCCATGAAAGTGCAGGGTCCCAAGGCTTTGGGCCGTCCTCTACTGCTTTTTCAGGCCGCAAGTAGGGAGCTGGATGGGAAGTGGAGCAGCTGGGACATGCACTGGTGCCCATATGGGATCCAGGCACTTAGCAAGGCGAGGACATAGCCACTGAGCCATCACGTCAAGTTCTGTTTAAGTTTTTTGTTGTTGTTGTTGTGGATTTGTTTTAAGCACAGTGGGATTTTTTGTTATTCAAATCATATTGTAGCCGAAACCCAATATTGGCAAAACAGCAGAGCTGCTGGTGTCAGAGTGGAAAAGTGGGGCATTTGGTGCTTCCCACAACTGGATCATCTGTCCTTCTCTTTTCCCTTCAGCCTCTCCCCAGCCAGAAGTGTCTCTGAAAAAAATCATTGGAAAACAGTGCAATGATAGTTTTGGTGGCATCCTGAAAGAGGTTGAAATTCTGGTTTAGGTTCTTCTAATAGAAGGAAGGTCAGCGCCCCATGTGGTGGTAATTGTCTGCTACTGAATAGCTCTGAACATGAATTCTGAGCTGCAGGAAGCTTATATCTGCCTTCCAATAGCTTTTACAATTCTATTGCCACCCTTATGTGGCAAAGAGACATTTCCTTAGAAGCCCTTCAACAACCTGAAGTCAGCCACCTTGTCTCAGCCGTGTCTACGTACCTCGCTCACTCAGCACGTACTGTAGACACACTAGGTCCTTGCCCTCATGGCTGTCACATTCTAATGGGGGCCACAAACATAAATCAGTCAATCAGGAGAGTGGAGGAGGGCTAACAAACCCACACCCAGAGGCTCTCTAGCAAAGAGGCTGTCAGATACTTAGTCATGAAGGATAGGTCAGAAGTGTATGGCAAAGGGCAAAGGGAGCTTCTGAAAGTTAGCATGATGTGGCTGTAAGACCTTGAAGCACAAGCCAGACCAAGGTAGCCCAGGGTCCATGAGCAGTCCTGGTGGCTGAGTGCGGACCAGGCCAGAGTTAAATGGTGAGAGAGGACAGGTAGCAGAGGGCTCTGGGAAAGAGAGGCAGCACAATAATTTAGCCAACAGAGACCTCCTGGTGTTTGCCAAAGAGGAAAATGAAAGCCAAGCCAGCAATTGTTGGGAGTCCTTTTCTTGAACATAGCTGGTCCTGAGTCAGAAGAAATTAATCAGTATATTTGGGAAATCTACGTGTATTGACTTTCATAAACAAATTTATAAAAGTGTCAAAGAGCTATATGCACAACAAGGAAATTTCATAGATAACTTTACCCAACTTTTAGGAACAGATAATTGGTAATGATTTTTTAAATTGTTTTCAGTTACTGAAAAATAAAGTATTGCCATCACTTCAAGGCAGACAACCTAACATATTATCACATGGGAAAAGAAAAGGCCAGGCCAGACACTTAAGAATATTAACACAAGAATCTTTAAAAATGTTCATCAACTAGCTTACAGAGCATTAAATGGATAACAAACATCATAGCCAGTTGCAGTGTATTCTAAGAATCCCAGCAAGATCGAGTAGTTGCACATTAAGACTTGTAGGTGTAAGATGAAAAATCATTATTTCTGTCAATATTAAAAGGGAATTTCACACAATTCAACACCCATTCTTAAGGTTTGGCTCAGTAAATGGATAAGTCAAGATTAGAAGGTAAGTATCATGCTCCCTGGGGAAACTGGGATTCTGATCTCCACCCCCTGAACATCTCTCTGTCCTGCTGTAGGGGAAACCTGTGACTTGCCACTAACCAACAGAAAATGACAAGCAGAATGGGGGTTTGCAGATAGAATCTGTATCCTCAATCAGTGATGTCAACTGAGTTCAAGGAAAAGTGTTTGTTCTGAGTCAGCCAAACCCAGTTGGGCTAGTTCTTTTTCTTAAAGATTTATTTTTTTTTATTATTTTTTTATTGGAAAGGCGGATATACAGAGAGGAGAGACAGAGAGGAAGATCTTCCGTCCGATGATTCACTCCCCAAGTGAGCACAACGGCCAATGCTATGCCGATCCAAAGCCAGGAGACTCTTCTGGGTCTCCCATGCAGGTGCAGGGTCCCAAAGCTTTGGGCCATCCTTGACTGCTTTCCCAGGCCACAAGCAGGGAGCTGGAAGGGAAGTGGGGCTGCCGGGATAGAACCAGCACCCATATGGGATCCCGGGCATGCAAGGCGAAGACCTTAACCACTTGTGCCACCGCGCCGGGCCTGGGCTAGTTCTTTAGAAGAAGGTTCTGCTTCCCTGGCAGAGTGTCTGGTGGCCTTAAAGGCTCATCTGCCATGTTTGGAGAGGTCCCATGACAAGGACCCATGAGATGCTCCCAGGAACTTAGAGCCCCTGGCCAAGAGCTTTTGTCCTGTAACCAAGAGAACTGAATTCTGCCAGCACCCTCTTGAGCTCCAGAAGGAAGCACTGCGTGGACAGCATGGGCAGCACCAGCAGCATGTGAGGTCCTGAGGGCTGCCAGCCTAGTCATATTTTAAGTTGCCAAGTTTGAGGTCGATTTCTACTCAGCAATGAAACACTGGAGTTAATGTCAGGACAAGGATGCCTGACATCACCATGATCATTTCCTGGACAGACAGTGCAGTTAGGCAAGAAAATGAAAAGAAGGGAGTCAACTTATGAGTTGCAGACAACATCGTGGACCATTTCAAAATCCCAAGAGAATTGAGAAAGTTCAAAAAGCTGTAAGAAAATTCAAAACAGAGCAGACACCAACAGCTTCCATATTATAAATAACAAGCAGAGAGAGGTTAGAATGGGAGGAAAGACCTCCCGCACTACAGCAACACACAAAGAGAAAATGCCTTGTGATCAACCAGCAATGGGCCTCTCAGATCTTTAGAAAGAAAATTTTAAAACATTAATGAAGCAAGCGAAAGAATTAGACATATGAGAAAAACTTGTCATGTTTTGCACAAGAAAGATCTCAAGTAAATGCTTAACTTAACAATGTAAAATGTTCTCAATGAAAAGACCAACATTTTTTAAGCTTTTTTAAAACATGGTGATCTTAAAGTTCATGAGGAAAAGTAAACAAATGGCCACAGAAACTCTGAAAGTGAAGAGCAAGGGGAAGTCTGCCTCAGGAGACAGTAAGGCACATTAGAGAGCCTTCTTGTGAGCAGAGCTGG